TGCAGTTAAAATGTACAGAAGGACACATTTAGATCAACAGCTGCAATGGCCAAGGAATTTATAAACAATCACTTCAAGTGTGATCTGACTTTAAATCAATCTGTCAGATGACTACATTCCAAACCAGTCAAAGTTTACTTCAGCTGTTAAGACAAGTAATATGATCAGTGAAATTGTCCAAATAAAGATCTATTCAATTCATATAATTTTAAGGTAAAAATTCATATTTACATCAGTAAAAAATACTAAGCTGCAACACTAGATTAACTGTGTTCAGCCTTCTAAAGCAAGCAGTCAATTCATAAAACCAGTTATTTAAATAAATATCAAAGCTTACTAGACAGGTCAGAGTATTAGCCAGAATCTCTAAACATTAAGAGGCATCAAGATTTTATTTCACATTCTAGCACTAATATTGTAACTAATAGTGACACATTTTTAAAAATAAGTGGTGTTCTACAGCCTTCCCAGAATAAGCATTTTAGTTTCAAGTAACATGATATCTAAATGACAATCAAATTTCAATATTAAATATTATCAGATTACATGACTTCTCTTCCACCTCATGATCAAGACTCACTTTCTCATGTCATGCTCAAAGTTTTATCTGAACCCTGGAAGCTGCAAGGATTTACATCCCGCTGACTTTACAAACAGTTTAGGGACTATGGAGAGAACAAAAAAATCAGTGGGTATACAAATCTCTGCAGGATTAGACCACACCCATCATCCATAAAAGACTACAGCTTGGCTGGCAACAAGCTCCAACTGATTTCAGTGTAGGCCAGGAATTTATCCACTTTAGTAAATGCAAAGAATGTTCAACAAGTCAAGTCTGAATTTTACTATGATTAGAAAATCTTGGCAAGGTCCTATTTAATCCTTTAATAGCACAACATAAAAAACACTACTTCCTGTTACACAAACACAAAAATAAAAATTAGCATATGTTAACCAAGCTAACTAAGGAACATAACTCATGTTTCATAAAATAAAGCTAAACACAACTTACTTGTGATACTGTTGTGTTTTTTGCATTAGCTTCTCTGGGAGCCCATCTTCATCATCAAATTGTTCCATTGGTTCTACAACAACAGGTCGAGGTGTTCTGGAAGACAGTTTCAATTGAATAACTGAATCATAAATGAAGAAGTTAAAAGTTATCTTAGTATTTTGAGTAAATACTCCAGAAATATGCTATAATTACTGTGTCATGCAAATTCTTAAATCGTGTAATTCCAACGAATCCTGATTTTAAGAATTATCTTTGAAAGTAATTGTTTCTATACCCAAAACCAGCTATTCCACCTAGAAAGCACAATTTACTTGATGTAGTTCTGTTTGTTATGACATAAAGATTAAAAAAACCTCAAAACTATCTACAAACAATTACAAAATATTTAGGAAGGGACTACCTTTCTGTTTTCATAAGTGAGGCAACACAGGGGCCACGATTATACTGGGAAAGCATCAAACCCAAAACAGAGCAACACAACCTATTCATATTTCCACAGAATTTTAGAAGTTATGTTTGAAAGTTACTCTACAACTGAAAACAGCTTGGTAATTTGGCATTAATATTCCAGTGATAATTAGAAAAAAGCTACTGCTTAAGTTATTTAAAACCCATTCTTTGAACCATTCTCTCACAAATCAGAAACCTAATTTATCTTTGAAAATACCTACCTTGAATTCTCATTATCTATAGTAATCAGAGGCACATATTAGCCAGTACTGCCAAGGATAGCAGTATAAGGATCCTGAATTGTGTAAAAAGCTCTCTGCTTCACTCTTGGGAGCACAGCCTATAATACACATCTTAAAGCCATATGAACAGAGCTAGAGACACTACTTTCAAAACACCAGTGCTTATTTATTGTGTTCCACACCTTTAATTCACTTCTCAGACCTTTTCACAGAAAAAAACCCCATGTATTTTGACAACATCAACAGCTGGGAAAAAAAACTTTGGGCAAGTACAGATTAAAAACATGAAGTCTAGAATCACAGAATACAACTCAGCAACTTTTTCTCCTTATGTTACCTGCATGACAATTGCTGTCAGTTCTGTTACTTCAATGCCACTGAACTGTGTTAACAAGTTATGATTTAAAACAACAATTATAAATCTCTAAATTAAAGTTTCAAATGCCTCGTTTGGATATATTTAGCCCATGAACTGAAATATTTTCTTCTGATCAGGCAAAGAGTTTTCACCTAAAAATGGAAAATTTTAGATTCTAAAGCAAAACATCAAAGTATCATGTCAGCAGACTCCTGCTAATTATCTTTACAGTGTGCATTAGGGACCATGTCAGCCACCTAAGCAAGATAAAGATCAAGTGGTTTTTATTCACTCAGGCCATGGTTAGATGGTCATTTCAATCCAATGAAACTATCCAGCTGGTAAAACGAGAATAGCCTCCCTCAGTTGGTGAACCACTGACACAGGTTGCCCAGAGAGGTGGTAGATGCCTCATCCCTGGAAACAGTCAAGGTCAGGTTGGCCAGGCTCTAAGCAATCTGCTCTAGCTGAAGATGTCCCTGCTCACTGCAGGGGGGTTGGACTAGATGACCTTTAAACAGTTCCTTCCAACCCAAACTATTCTATGATTCTATACCCTAGCTTCTTTTTCCCCTGCCACGTCTCTCATGCCAAGAATAGCATTCATGTAACACTGAACTAGATTAGCTCCCTGGTTCGGCTCACCAGGCTTCCATTCAAACATTAATGCCAAGAAAACCCAGGGGATAAGAACAAATTGTTGACACCTACTGATAACAGTAAAGACATATTCAGATTGAATTTACTATGTAGCTACCAGGTCAGTTCAGTGGCACACAAGATTCATAAGATTATCATGAGAAAGAGGAGCTCCAGATCCTTTCCCCACCTGCCATCTCCTCCAGGCAACATTTTCTCCTGCCTTATGCTCTGCTAGACCTGATATTCATAGCACCCATGCTGGCAAACACCTTCGTGTCCTTAATCAGCCAAAACCAAACCCAAAAAAACAGCTGAATACTTTTCTGTTGTTTTAGCAAACACAAACGGCTTATGGAAGCATCAGAAAGTTCTCAAGCAGATAATTGATCAGGGCAGGAACAGAAAAAGAACTACAAGTTCCCCAAGTTGATGGCAGCAAGCTTCCATGTGGAATGGAAGCTTCTGCTGTGGAATCACAGCCTTATTTTCCCAAATGAGAATCAGAAAAATAGAAGTAAAAAAAAATTTATATCTATCATTTCATGGTCTTTGAGAAAGCATTTGAAAATGTAACTAGCGAATGTCTTAAAGCACAGCAGTTAAATCTCTTCAGCAAGTACAGATGTAAGAGATGCAAGACAGAAGTGCTGTAATTTGCAAGCTTGCATGCCCTTGAAATGGAAAGTTTTCCAGAGATGGTTGCCATAACTTCTGCAGAATCTAAGTCTTCATTTCCACCCAAAAAAGTATTTCTGCCCTTTTAAGCCATAAATAAAATAAAACTTTTAAGATAGAAATAAACACAGGAAGACCTTCCTGACTTTACAGAAATATGAGCAATGTAGTGTGCCGTTTTGCAAAAAAACAGGAATATTATTTTGTCACATTGCTACTGGGATCAGGAAGAGTGCAATCAATAAAAAGAAAGTGTAACTAGAAAAAGCCCTAGTATATGGAGAAGGAAAAGTAACATTGCATATAGACAAGGAAAAGCAAAATGTTGCTATCAGACTCTCATATGGTAATTACAAGTCTTATAAACAGTAACCAGAAAAAGATGGTTTTCATCACACACACAAAAAAAAAATCAGCAACTATTTGGGCTACTCACATAAAAATCCTTAATCTTGTCACCTCATGCCTTTCATAATTTGAAAATAAAATAAGAACTAGGGAATACTCATGAATGCAGGTGGGTTGTTTTTTTTTTTTCACATCAGAAATACATACTCACACAAATTCAAACAAAAGACTGTGAACTTACGTTGTTAGCAAGAATGCCCCATCACTGCATCTTTCTAGAGCTTTCCGTGCTGGAGGTTTTGCTGCAAATTCTACAAAACCTTTTCCTGTAGCTCTGCCACGATCATCTACTACGACAACAGCTCTTTCCACTGGCCCAAATTGAGAGAATGCTTGTTCCAGCAGCTCATTAGAAACCACAGGTGAAAGATTCTTGACCGTTAGGGCAGCTCCATGTGTAGCAAATCGAATTCGAAGTGGTCTGCTCTTCAAAATAGTACCATCAAGTTCTGCCTTTGCTATTTCAGCCAGTGTCCTAGATTCCTTTGTCAAGATATAAAACATTGTATATGTTTTATTTTCAAAGACAACAAATATCACTTTTGTGGCTCCCCCACCCCAGAAAAGTAGCTTTTTTTTTTTTTTCCCTTAAGCACATTACCATCAGGGTCATTCAACTTCCTCCCCCTCTCTCCCCCCAAAAAACCCGAAGTGTCTGTCCATTGAGTGAAAAAAAATATGCATTTGTCATCCCCTACAATTTGTTCTAAAAAACAACATACACAAAAAATGTGTTGCACATCAGAGGACTTAATTCTCATTATGATAGATACATTTGTGCTGCTCTGTAAAGGCTTTCAGCAGAGTTGAAAACTTGTTGCTTTTTCAAATTTACCTACTCAAATGTTTATATTCTGCATCCCTAGTTCCATATAGTAGGAAACAGTATTTTTAAAGATTACACTACAAGATCTGAAGTGGTTTGGGTTTTGATTTTCACTTACTCAAAAACAAAACATCAGACTTGCTCATTACCACTGTTGGATGAACTCTCAATGGATGTCCAATTCGAATTTCATCAACAAATAATGAAATTACCTTCTTTGCTCATGTACTCATTCTTCTCATATTTACGGGCTTTCTGCACCCACATCCACAAGACTGTCTGCACCAATAATTGCCTTTTTTCTCATTCAGAAATTTTCACCGAGTTTGATACCTGCAATCCCTTACATTTAAAGAAATTATTCTTTAGAACGTAGCCATTTTCTCCACAGTTGAACTGACTAGATAAATTGTTAAAAAATAACATATTCCCTAAACATAAGGGAAAAGGGAAGTTCAAAAGGGAAGTTCAGCTAAAAGCTATACCTAATCTATACCGCATAAAAAATTGAGTAATTACATGTAAACATATCGCACTTCCTCCAGAAAATTGCTACTGCAAGCTGGGGGATTCCCGGGGTAAAAGATGTATGGCAGAATGCCACAAGCACTTATCTTTAAAAGAACAACCAAAAAGAAAAAAATCATAACCAGCAAAATATATGGAAAAATCGTAACTAGAGACACCCAAAGCACTCTAAGGCTATTCCCAGAATGATATAAATCAGTGCGCTCCAGACGTGGCAGTCATGAAAACTAATCCTGCACATCAGATTGACATTTAAATACACTGACATAAGCTTTTCAGGTTATTCCTTTTTTGCACGCTCACTTAAGCATATTCGATCGAATATCGTATCATCACTAAAAATCTAGTTTTATCTGGACACAAGTAATCTAAACAACTCAAATTCCCATTTCTTCGCAATTTTGAATTATATGTTTCGTTTTCACGATGCGTGAGCAGTGCTATTTCGAAACAATCCTGTCCAGTCTTTAAAACTAAGTGTGTTTTCATAGACCAGACCTATACTCATTATGAGCTGCACAGGCCGAAATTTGCCTCTGCACAAAGAAGGATTTTTTCTAGTCCTAAAATATGATAAATTCTCCCAGTTAAATAAGGAAAGCTTTTCTACACGTATTACACGAACAAAACGGATGGCACAACCACATCTTCCATTCACTAAAGAGTACCAGGCTGCAGGAGACCCGTGGTATCAGCACATAGACGGTTAACTGGTGGAGGAGCCCCTGAAACCAACGGAGTACCGCGTAGCGAGGTGGGAACCTAAACGCGACGGGCTCGGAATGCCGCTCACAATGCAGGTCTCTGGCTTGGATGTATGGAGGCGAAGAGGGGAGGGGGGGGGAGAAGGAAGAGAAAGCTGAGAGAACAGCGCTAGCAGCATGGAAAGAGACTGAGGGGCAGCTACTGTCTTTTTTCTACACCCGCCCGACAGGGAACGGGGTGGGGGGAGCAAGGGATAGGACTCTCCCGCTGGCAGAGGCAGCCCCTGGGTTAACCGGGCAGCC